TTTGTAAATCGATCATTCGATACGGAACGTGAAATGATATTTTAAATATTTTATTATCTTATTAAAATTGTGATTTGACGGAAAATATTAAAATATTAACCTAATTCACAATATGACGCAAATATACTACCTTTCTTTACTTTTTAAATTAGAATGTCATTGAGTCATTGAGACTATCGGATAGTCTAGGTTTAGACTGGGGGGGGATAATATTAAAATATTAAAGTTGAGGTTGTATCGAATCATCAGCAGTCGGATTTGTTTTAGCTGCACATCAAATTTAATCGAAATCTGTGAAGTAGGTTGTGGAATAAAACATGTAGAAACAGACGGACTGACGGACGCCTCTTGTATTCCTTCACTGTGGGTATAAGCGCGTAAAAATCATCTTTCTTTGTGTGTACACAATTAGATATTAATTAGAGTCGACTAGGTATCTGAAAGGAGGCGAGATCAAATTATTTGAACGAACTTAATGTATCGGTTACTTTCATTGAGGGAGTGAGTCATAAAGACCATAAATTGTTCTGTGGTTAACGTGGCCGATACGGATTCTATGTGAAGGTTAATAAACGTACAAGGTTGGCCATGACTGAAAACCATGGCAGCCTTAATTCCTGTTTATAACGCGCAAATCAGAACAGAGCAGGGGGGCACCACCGCTTATGTTACGTGATGTAGTGTCACAGTGGCCCCAGATAATGGGGAAAAAAAAAATTGTCATTTTAGACGTAATATTTTCAATGCAACTTCGTATTCTTAATGAACTGAATCACAGTATCATAACCTTTTTCTGAAGGCCGCGAAACTTTGTAACGAGACCGAGTAGTTTCAGCTAGCTGAAAGGCATCGCATTATTTGATATTAGATGATTTGTATTTTTCACGGTGGCGAGTACGAAGATGGCTGACTTCTGGACTGTAACGCCGCGTAGTCTAGACTTTTCGTGGAGGCAGCAGGTACCTGTGAAATGTAGGTAAACTTATACCAGACTACACGGCGTTACAGCCCAGAAGTCAGACATCTTAAGTCTATTCTTTTACCGAAACGCAATCGTGAAACATTAATTTTTTTAATTGAATAAAAATTTACTTGGATATTATCCATCGTCTAGTAAATATAAAACATAAAAACGTAAAACGACGTTTCGGAGATAGGGATTAGCTCTATCTAGTGGGCCCAACTGTGTAGGAACCTGAAGACGGAGATAGAGTCCCATCTCCGAAACGTCGTTTTACGTTTTTACGTTTTATATTTACTAGACGATGGATAATATCCAAAGAAATTTTTATTCAATTGACTCTTCACCATCGTCAAGAAGTTTTAGAT